CCCCAAAACCCCAAAACCCCCAAACCCCAAAACCCCAAAACCCCTGAAGAAATAAATTAAACAAAATAGCAAAATATCTTTAATCTATATTGAAAAATAATAAATCCTTATTAATAAAACAAAATGGACAGCATAAATTATCTACAGTAGAAATCAGATTAAAATGTCTTAACAGATTTTTAAATGAAACTAATGAGAAACTTCCTTTTTCTTCCTCCTACTTTCAAGCACCTTTTCCAATTTGGAAAAGTAATTGATTCTATTGATAAGTATTTGGAACCACATTAAATGATAATTATGAAAAGAGTTTGCAAATTAATAAAAAACAAAGTTAGTGAAGCTTCGAACTTTTTGAACATATTCTAGCACATCTAGATTAATGATGACTATTGCTAATTTTTTCCTAGACAAAAACTAATAAGTTGGTACATTAAATAATTCGACTTGAATGGTAACATTCATCCTCAAGAATTGTCGATAAAAACAATCAACTAGCTGGCTTAAGATAAAGCTTTATTGGATGACCTAATTTATATTTTAGCTACTCAATGCTCCAGTTTGCTTAAGCTTAGAATTGAAAACACACCATTTGAACAGGTTAAAATCATATTTGAAGTAAACAAAGGCAAGCTGATTCTTAGAGAATTTACGAATATTTAAGGTGAAATAGGCGATGGAGTTAAATATCTAGAAGAAATCCTCACTTTAAGGAAAGTTTATATCTAAATAGATGATATCTCTAAATTCGAAAGTTTGATAACAAAATACGTAGAAATAAATTTAATTGAAGATCTAGAACCATAAAGAGCATTCTTTGTAAACTAGAATATAAGAAGATAAGCATTAGATATGGGTATTTTATTAGTTTACGATAATCTTAGTATGAGTTAGTACAAAATGATTCTGAAAGATGTAAAGCAATTATATACAATTAGAATATATGATGGAAAAAAACTTTCAGACTATTTCTTTGATTTTCTAATTCAAAATAAATATTACGAAGGATTAAACGAGTTTGTATTTAGAAATTGTGTTTTCTCAATCAACTCAATAGTAAGACGTTTTTTTAATTTTTTTCACAATTCAAATCTGGAATCGTCCTTAGTTGTAGATTTTACTGGATGTGACTTAAAGGGAATTCAAATGATTTCATAAGAACTGATAAAAAACAATGGAATAGAAAGTATTTTTTATGGTGGAGAGGATCTTTTAAGAAGATATAGAACTTAAAAATCTAAGGAAAGAGAGGGGACAGTATAAAGAGACGTGAGAGCGGAGAGAGAGGCGTACTAATTCTTATAAGCTTAATATGAAGAAGAAATGATCCAAAAGTAACTACTTCTTCTGATGGAACAGGAAAATGAAAGATCAAGTCTTATGGATTGATTTATTAAAAGAAAATATGAGAACTTTATTTAATGAGGTCAAAATTTCTTATTTTAATATTTATTATTTCTTCACTAATCTTTCAAATTCATGAATATGGGGTTTTGGGGTTTTGGGGTTTTGGGG